GGTGATAGCCGTAAGATAATATTTTCCTCCGCCTGTGTTTTCCACTATTCACTACTAACCCCATCACTTCAAGTAAGTTATATTTGTAACCACATACTTTCAAAATTAACTGTTATGACCCTGAAACTATTGTCAAGTGGTCTAGAAAAGGTGGCCTTGCTCAATTTATGGTTTTATTATACAAACAAACTGTGTCTCTCCTCTACTGTTTCCTTGTATAATTTATAAGCAACATTTGATGACTGATTGAGAAATTAGTAGAAGAAGCAAAGATCAATCAGTTATAAGATCTGAAGTTGTTTTGTTTATATTTAAGAAAGCAAACTTTGTATAATATGTTTTAAGTACAATACCATACCGTCCAAAACTTATCTCCAAACACAAGCTACACTTACCTTTTGCTGTGATTACATTTACATGCACATAAAGTTATATAGATAAACACATACATTTTGACATTACCACTGATCATAGTTTAGACCGAGAAAACATCGGTTTCCTACCACAAAACCCTGTGGAGTAGATTTTTGATCCTTTGCAGTGTCACTTATGTGGAAAAGGTAGTGAACCACAACAATGGAAGTAGCCGTTGGAATCATACCAAGATCGTTTCGAGATATGAGCTTCTCTGATTAGATATTTTCCCCAATTCTTGTTCCCAAACTCTTTGTGTATCTCTTGCGCGTCAAAAGTGTTTTTGCCTCCTTTTCTATAGCTTGAATTCATCACCGTGGCATGTAGCTGCAAAAAAGGAACTAACACAAAGCATAAGCAACGAGAAGCTGAGACATCTTATTCTCAATCACTGTCTTTGTCCTAGTGACAGTGAGATTTTGCAGTTTTTAATACAATGGAATACAATACTCAAAGGCAAAAAGAGTAAAGAATATGTGAGTTACAAAACCATTTACCTTCAAGCGTGACTTTGCATCTTTCCCAGCAAATCCAGCATTCGCAAATGCATCGATGATAACATCTGAATGAGGGAGTTAAAGAATTCGAAAACTCGTGAAACAAGTAATCTAAATTCATGTGTTTGGTCTCTATATTTTTAGTTCCCTCTTAAACCAATGCATAGGAGTAAAAATAAGCTCTTAGAGAAATTAGGATACGACAAGCACTTAGCAGCCGGCCTTCATTCCCAACTTCTTCAACAGGAGCATAGAGCACGCGGGTTTTGTCGAAAGAGTCATTCATAGAATTCTTAACAAGAGAAAAAATACAAAAAGCAGACCATTGGGATTGAGTGAAAGATTATGTTTTAAGCCATTAGGAATGTAGTAATGTTAAAGCCAAGGATTTGCAATCTCACCAATCCCTTAAGTCTTATGTAGACAGGTCGGTTATCCAAAACATGCCTCACATTAGATGAAATACTCTGGTTTTTAGAAAAGACAACACCTTAATCATCAAAGCAAATCCTAGAAGAAGCATACAATATCTCTTAATCCAGAGGAAACTAAATTTACCTTAAGGATATTCAGAGCTGCATCCACAGCTTCCTTGTTCTCTAACTTTAACATAACCACAGTCAAATGGAGAGTATTTGGCGATACAAAGATCGATTTGTCGATTCCCATTTCTGTCCAATTGTGAAAATAACATGTCATAGAAACAAGTTTTCTACTAAAACTAAAAGCATTGATTCATTTCTTTCTGGTCTTACCAGCTAAAGTAGTACCCTTAAACTTCAAATTATCATTGTCACCCAATATCGAATTCCGAAAAGCCTCAAGCTTTTTCCTCAACTCAGGGTATATGGCTAATGGAAATGATACGAAGTGTGTAAACACTTCACCCTGACCCTGTACAATCTACCAAGCATTTGAAGATTTCATTGTTCACCCCAAATCAGCAACACATGAAAGGTCAGAGATTGAGGTTTTTGTATCTAGAAAAATTCTCAACACTGAGGATGATGAAGAAGAAACTCGGAAATAGATCATCAAACCTGCTTGCCTTTGGAGGCGAGAGGAGTGGAAGAAGATTCCCCGCGACTATCAAGTGATAAACTCTGCTTAGACGACTCTGTTTTCACATGATTATCATCGGATCACACACACACACAAAATCAAGCATAATCCAAATCAAACCCCAAAAAATACATAAGAGGAGAAACAATCGGGAGAAAGCGAGAGACTTTATTTACCCATTGCGATTTTGCCGGCGTTTTGAGACCTCTTCACGATAAAGGTCTTGTCTTTAAACATAAAGAAAGTTGCAAGAGACTTAGTCAATGACCCCACCAAAGC